CCCCCCCCCTCCTCCTCCTTCATGGTGCCTGTTTCCCTCCCGTCTGTTGCCGTCCTCCTGACAACTGAGCGTCGCTCTCTTTGCTCCCCATTCGCCACCTGGCAACTCAGCGTGCCACACTATGACGTGGAGACGGCCGTAGATGTGTTGGCTGGCTCGGGGCATCCCACGTTCCCGGCTTTCGTGCGGGTACGCTTCATCTCCCTCTTTTGGCCTCCGGGCATCCATCACCATCGGCCCGGCGGTGTTTGCTCCTCCTTGCATTTGCTCCCCCTCCCTCCCTCCCTCTCTCTCTCTCTTCCCTTCGTTTTCCCCCCTCGCTACTTGGAAAACCCCCCAACAAGCATATGTCCCTCCGACTGACCCGCAAATTGTCGCAGGAAAACTTCGTCGGCTCCCCATCGGTGCTGGCCCCCTCCCTGGGATCGAATGTCCTGCTTCCGATCATGTCAGTTCCCACTTTCCAGGAGGACTTGGCCCAGTCCCTAACACGGGAACGCTTGCTACTGGTGAATGCCACAGTGACGGTGGTTCTCCGCCGGCGCCTGGCCGAGTCCATCCTCCCACCGGGGCTGCAATTTGTCAGCATGCGCCGTGGATCGGCCACCTTCGAAGCACCAGGCCTCTTCCGGATGAAGCTCAGCCTGGACCCTGTCCATTCATCCCTGCCGTGGCGCATCGATCGGCTGTGGTTCACCATGGATGTCGAGGCCGCGGCCGACGGCCGATCCGCGACCGCCAAACGCAAGACCCCCGGCCAGTCGGGCTCGCGTGATGGGCTCTCTGCCGGTGCCGGGGCCAGCACCACCGGCAGCGTAGGCCACACCGCATCGGGTGCCACGACCAAGGGCACCAAGGCATTCCCTCCCGCACGGCAAGGTTCGTTCGTGCTCCCTCCCGGTGGCCTCATCTCCTCCTGGCTTCGCTGCTGATCCCCCTTTCCAGTGCATTTGCTCCCCCCGAATCAGTGCCAAAACCTGGCCAAGTACTTCACCGCGCGGATTCGCCTGCTGGGGAATAACCGCCTACCGTCGGAGGTTCCGATCCCGGAACTGAATGAGCTGAATTACGCGCATCTCATCGATGCATCGCTGTCGGTGACTCCGGCCCACTTCCGGGCTTCGATCGCCGTCATTTATCACGAGCTCAGTGCGTCGGCATTCCTTCCTCCCTCCTGTCTCTCGCTGCTCTCGGTCTGCCCTTTTCCTGTCCATTTGCTGCGTGGGCCGGCCGGTCCTTCTTTCTCACTGACACGTGGACCCGCTTCGGGTGGTTCACCGCCTAGCCCTGCTCTGCATGATCATGTACATCCGGATCCTGCGCTTCCAGGCATACGGCCTGGCTGCGCAAGGGTGGCGCATTGACCTGGACCTGGATGGGGACTCGGCCTTCCCCTCGGGGGACAGCGGCCCAGCCGGGCCCAAGCGAGCTCTGGAGCCGACGTCGGCCCGGGCCCTGGATGCCGGCCGGGCCGGACCGCTTGGCGGGTCATCGGTCAAGCGCCTTGGCATTCGCTATTGGGTGTGCGTGTGTCCTTCACCACCTTGGCTGGGCTCTGTCGCCTCCTCTGCTGGGGTTTTCCTGCCTCTCTCTCTCTCTCTCTCCCCTCCCTGTCTCTGTCTCTCCCTCTGTCGCACTGGCCACATCATCTTCGCCCCTTTAACCCTCCTCCCCTGCCTGTCTCAGTGAGCGCAAGGCTGGTGATGGCCTGCTGCCCATGCGAGGAAGTCACAGCGGGCAAGCCAGCGCGCGCGGAGCCTCCTGCCACCATACGCTCATCATTCGCATCGACCAGCCGAAGCCCCTCCAGCTTGCCCTTTCGACAGCCTATTGCCCCCCGGCGGGGGCTGCCAGCCCGAGCGATGGGACCCTCGCCGGGGCGGGCGCCTCGCCTCTGTCAATGGAAGTCCTTGGTACTTGAAGACTGCTTTGGATTGCTGATCACCGGCCTATTCCTCGCCTCGCCCCCTCTGTACGACTCACACACACACACACACGCGCGCGCGCGCGCGCGCACGCACACACTTGTCATCTCCCCCTCCTCCCTCCCCCTCCTCCCTCCCCCCTCCTCCCTCCTCTCGACAGATGTGGCTGCCCTGTCGAACCACAGCATCCGCTTGGTGCTGGAGCATGTCACACAGGCGCCGCCCGGCGACCGTGGCAACATGACTCCCGCGCCCGGGGCCAAGCCCCTGGCCGGGGTCACCTCCAGCAACGAGGTCGGGCCCGGCTGGACAACCGCCAGCGATGGTGATGAGGATGAAGGTGACGGTGAAGAGAACAGCGACGACGATGGTCTGAGCGACTGCAGCGATGACGGGGAAAGCGAGGCCGATCACGAGCGGGAGGGCGTGGCCCCCTTGCGCGGCGGTCCTCGCCACACATCGAATGCCGATTCCGCCGAGGCGGTGGAGCGTGTGCTGCGCGCAGCACGACGCCATGGACCCGGGGGACTTGGCGGTTCTGGTGTGGGACCCTCCGCCGGTGCCGGGCCTGCCTCTTTGTCTCGCGTGCGCACCCTCTCCGGGCCGGAGTTCGACCTGTCCCCGACCAATGGCCAGCTGAGCATGGAGCGTGTGTTGCGGCGCGTGGTTGGAGACCAGTGCGTCGGGCTGATCCATGCCCTGCGGCAAATGCTGATCAACCCGCTTGGTGGTCGGCTGCGTGAGCATGCCGGCCTGGCCTTTGATCGGAAGGATGTCATTGTTTGCGAGGATCGCGTGGCCTCCGGGCTTGCCGGCAACCAGGCTGCTGGCTCCCGCAGCGAGGCCAATGGCATGGAGGTGTCGGGTCCCGGCCGGCGGGTGTCGCTCCATGTGCATCTCTACGAGCACCGGACTCTGGACATCTCGGTGGAGCCGACCACCGGCCGTGTGACCCTGGTGCTGGCTGGCTCCGAGCGCCGGCGTCTCCTGCGCGATGTGGCCCAAGTCGAGGCGGCCCTCAATGGTGACAAGGTCCTGGCCACCGGAGCCGGCGCCAATGCCGGGGGCCTGGCTCCTGGACCGGCAGGCCCCGGACCCGAGTCGCAGGCGGCTGGCACATCCGGGCGGGCTGTCGCCGGTCCTGGAATCACCCCCCAAGGGCCGGGGGTGGTCCTGTCGAAGGTGCCCTTCTCGACGATGATGAGCCGCGCCGGACCAGAGCGCGATGCCTGGGCCAGTGCGGTGGTCGCCCAGCTGATGAGCCTCCGCCGGCGAACGCTGCGCGACTATGTGGATCACATTACCACCGAGCTGGGCCTTGAGAGTGTGGCGCATTTGCTGCCTCAGGTGGAGGTCCCGCTGCCGGAGGAATTGGACCCGGTGGGGGATCAGCTGTTCTTGCGCTTCCGCCGGTATCCGGAGTACTGGCTCGCGGTGCATCACATTGACCGGCCGACTGAGCGGGCCTTTCTGCTCCGGGTCATTGCCAATGGTCCGGGTGCTGGGGTGCTGCGCGTGCAGCAGACCGTCCAGCTGCTGGCCCAGGGATTGGTGGACCACTCGGCTGGCGAAGCCACCCATGCATCGGCCCCGGATCAGGCTCTTCGCCGGCGATTCTCCCTCTGGGCACGGGCGGCCTGCTGCCTGATTGGCCGGGATGCCCTGACGGCAGCCGCGGTCGCGCGCGGTGTGCGCTCCATTCCCCGGGCTCTGGCTGATTGGCTCGATGCCGGCCATGAGGGGATCTACGCGCGGGTAGGCCGGAGTCCCGGTCCTCCGGATGCCACTGGTGCGGTCACCGCCTCGCGAGCCCCGGTCGTGGCGACGACAGTCTCTTCGACCGTGGTCCCGAGCTTGCCGGCCGGGACCCTGCTTGCCGGGGTGAAGGATGGCCCCGAGCCGGGGCCCTCCACGCGCGAGACCTTCCACCTGTCGGAGCAAGACCACCACGCGGCCGGGGTCTTCCGCTTTCATGGGCTGCTTGGTCAGCTGGGCGACTTGGTGGGAGGGATGGCCCTGCTGTGCTACCCGCCGGAGGTGCGCGTCATGATCCAGCGCCTGGTCCGGCAGCAGTCGCCCGGCCGCGAGGCAGGCCACATCGAGGAGCTCCAGGACCGGGCCTCGGGGCTCATTGCCCAGGCCGGCCTGATTGGACCCCTGGAGGTGCATGTGCAGTCGACCGGCCGCGCGGGCGGCCTGGCCGGGTGTGGGCGAATCAGCCTCGTGGCCGGGGCGGCTTTGGTGCATCCACGCTTGTGGACCGACCAGTCGCGTCGGCAGTTGCAGCGGTTGCTTTCCACCGTCGTCGAGCCGCATGCCATCGCTCCCACATTGGTGACGGCCGGCTTTGAGCAGCCGTATCTGCGCTTCCCCCCTGTGGCGGTGGAGGATGCCGAGGGGCTGGTGGCCTTCTTCGAAGCATATCGGTCATCGCTCTGCATGGCGGCGCTTGTGTGTGGCCTGGCCCTGGCTGAGATGGATGTCGATGCCGTGGTGCCTGCATCATCTGACCTCAAGGTGGTGGCCGATCCGACCACCTCCGGGCCTGGGTTCCCCCGGTGGCTGCGCCGCCTGCCGGTGCTGACCGGCGGGCAGCTCTCCTTCCCGGATCAGTGGGACTGCGCCGAGGGGACCCCTCATGGACGGCGGGTCCGCCGTTCCTGGGCCGCTGTCCGCTTCGCCGGACCAGTCCTCTCGGTGAGCGTGCCCCGAGTCCGGGCTCCGCCAAGTCCGAGCCTCGATTCGGTGCCCCTGGTGGCCACGGTGCTGACTCTTGTGCCGGAAGTCACTGAAACCGAGGTGCGCTTCCGCCTGGCTGTCGCGCCGACCCTCGGGGAGGATGTCGGCGTACCAGGCAAGCGCCGGCTCGTGGATGGCTCTCCCTCGGCGGCCAAGCGTCCGCGTACGGTCGGAGACCCGGATCCGCTCCCGGGTTCCTCCTCCTCGTCCTCCTCAGATGGCCATTACCTGGACATGGTGCTTCCATTGCTGGAGCCAATTCTGGCCTTTTCGCGGAAGTCCCTTGCTGATGCCATGGCTTCGGGCGCGGCGAGTGGTGCCCTGGCCACCCCTTTGGCGAATGTCATCGAGGTATGTCCTCGAAACGACGGCTCCCCGCCGCAACATCTCTCGGATATCCCTTCCCTTCCTCTCCCCTGCTCCCGGGCACGGGAGAGGCAACCTCCTTTCGTATGTCCACATGCTCACTCGGTTACCCTCCCCCTCCCCCTCCCCCGCCCCCGCCCCCGCCCCCGCCGCCGCTCCCGGTGAAGATTGCTTGCACTGTTGAGCCTGTATATGCGGCCCTCGGCCGGCTGGAGCAGGCGGTGGCCTTCGCTCAGCTTGGTGACTCTTTGCAGGGAGGTCTTGTGCCGACATCGGCCGCGGGGTATGCCACGTGGGTGGGTGCGGCGACCGGGTCCGGCGCCTTTGCTCGGGTTTTGTCCTCGGCTCCGGCGCATCCATCCTTCCCTCTGCGAGCGCCGGGGGCTCTGAGCTTCGATCCGGCCACCGCGACGGTTCCCCCGCTGGCCGGGAGTCCTGGGGCCCGTGCCCTGCCGCTGGCTCATGCGGCGCTCGTCCTGCGGACCAGCGTCACGCATGGGATGTATTTCCGCTTCGAGGCCCGAGCCCCGTCGCCACTGCATGTGCGACTTTGGCTTGGCCCGCACATTCGCCTGGATTTGGACATCCTGGTTGAGGGGGGCTTTTACAATGGACCGCTTGGCTCGGCTGCAAGTGGGGAATTGCTGAACCGCCTGCGTCAGCCCGGGGCCCCGGCTTTGGATGCTCTTGGCGGCCGGGTGACCGTGCGCCTGCACGATGCCGTGGCCTCGGTCAGCCCGTCCATGCTCAATGCATTCGGGCCATCTGTGTGGGATCCGTACTTCGACTCGCAAGAGCTAAAGCCGGCGCTGGTGCTGGTCCAGGGTATCCCCGGTCAGTCGCCGGGGTCGCGCATGAACCGGCGCTTCATCTCGTCCAGCAAACAGCGGCAGCCCCTTCCGTCGTTCTTGTCCGGCGAGCGGATCAAGTCCGTCCTCCGGTCGACCACCACCGATGTCGGCCTTTTCCGGTCACTGCCGGGCCTGCGGACCATCCTGCAAACGCCCCGGCCATCGCCGAATGTGACACAAAACTCGATTCCCTACGGTACGCGCATGTCCCCCGGCGTGTCCACCACAAGGACCCATGCTTCCGGCATATGCACACGCTCCATGGGGGCTGCCTGGCCCTTCATTTCACTTCCCTCTCGCCGGGTCCCTCCTGCTCCGATCTTGACATGCCGCTATCCTTTCGCTGTCCCTCCCGCTGGGGCCGAAAAAAAAACCCACAACAGAGGACACTCTCAGTCACCAGGTTCTACAGCATCTGTCAGCTCCCCTGCAGATCCGCCTGCGACCGGATTTCATGGCTTCGGACTTGTCCACGTCCGATCCCCGACTGGCGGCCGGCGCCGTGAAGCATGGTGCCAATGCCGACTTGGAGATGGTCCCGGCCGAATACCTTCCACGGAACATCTTTTCACACTCCTCACCGCCGCCGTCCGCCGGTCGTGGTGACGGGGATTCCCTCTTCGACTTGCTGAAGAGGCTGCTTTCTTTCACAAACTGGGGCGTCCAGCGCTTCTACTCCCTCGAGGACATCTCCATCCTCCTGGATGGCGTGCGTTTTGACCGGTCAGGGTGAAGGGGGGGGGGGCTTTCCTGCCTGGATTGCGCCACTAACATCGACCATGTTCCCTTCTTCCTGCTGTGGCTCCACGATGCATTGTCTCCTGGTGATGGTGGGGCGGCGGCGGATGCTTTTGTTCCTTTCCAGACCAAGATGGACTTTAATTCCATCGATGGATCCGTTCGGCTGCGCGAGAGCCACGACCCGGAGAGGCCCCCGGGCGCGGGATCCGCCGTGACATCGGCCACCCTGGCATTGACCATCCCAAAGCCGGGGCAGGCCCAGCAAGAGCTGTTGCTGCACCACCCGCCGGGAGCCCGATTCCGCTTGCTGGCTCGGGTGCCGGATTCCGGCGGGGCATCAGCCACGGCCATCCCGGCCGGGGCACTGTTCAGTCCCTTCGACTCGTTGCCCTCTGGCGCGGCCTTCGTCATGGAGGACTATGGCATTCGCCTGACGTCCATCGAGCCGGGGGGGAACTTCGTGTCGAATAACATCGCGACGCTCATGCGGAGCCTAGCTCGCAAGGTTCGCGTGTGCCTTCTTTGTCTCTTTTTTTTTCCCCCCCGCTCGCCCACCTCCCCCCCCCTCTCCATTCCTCCCCCGAACAGCCGCTTGCTATGCGCCTGCTGACCATCCTTGTCTCTTGCTCCTCGGCCTCGGTGGCCACCACAGTCCGCCCAAGCAACCACTCCGCCCTCTCTGTACTCCTTGAGTGTGGCCCTCTCCCTGCCTGGGCACATTTTGAATGAGCTGCACTCGCTTCTCCTCTTGGAGGAAACATCGGCCAAGGTACGCTTGACAATCTGCTGACATGCTTCGCTTGGCCGTGTTTACGCGGACCTATGTCCGGCGGAGGCACCCCTCCTGGCCCTTCTTCCTCTGCCTTTCCCTCTTCCTCCCCGGGGCGTGGCAGGCATTCTCAGCTGACACTCTACTGTCAGTCGGACACTCCCAACGGCTTTGAGCTTCTCTTGTCGGTTCCCGATCTGTCGGCCTTCGGGGCCAACCGCACTCCCTTGGTGGCGGTGCAGAACATCCTTGCCCAGTTCCGGGAACGCCTCCAGTCCCGGCCGGCGGCATTCATGACGGCCGTCACCCAAACCTACGAGCGATACACCCAGCAACGCGTGCAGACCGGATTCCCGGCCGACCGGGCTGCTGCCTTTGGCGACAGCCAGGTTCCCAATCCCAACGAGGTGACCATGGCCTTCGACCGAAAGAGCCAAACGCTGAACTTGGTGGTACGTGCTCGGGCGGGGGGGGGGGGGGGGGGGTGCACACACATGCGCTTGGAACTTGGCGTGTTGCACCTTGCGCCCCTTGCTTGCCTTTCCATCTGCACTTCCTTGCTCTCCACGTGTTGACGCGCTTTGCCCCCTTTGCCCTCCCTGCTCCTGGGTGCCGACAGCTTTTCTTCTACCAGAAGGCTCCCAAGGGCAGCGGTGCTCCGCCAACCGACGGGTGCCTGGTGCCGCTTCAATGGAATTGTGTCGACAACAGCGTGCAGGTGTCCCTGGCCTGCAATTGCACACAGCCGGCCATGCCGCTGATGCCCCAGGAGCTGATCGCCTCCCTGGCGGCCAGGGTTCCGGAGCTGACGCCCCAGCAGATGGCCCATGAGTTGTTCGAGATGACCCATGAGTTCCGTCAGCAATACATCCAGGTGGCCATGCGGCAGGGCCCGCTCTGGCAGCAGGTGGAAACCGTGCAGGCGCATCTTCGCGCCCAGCGTGCCTCGAGCTCCTCCCAGCAGCCGGTTCGCTCGAGCCTGCTGGAAGTCGTCAATGCGCTAGTCCAATCGCCATTCCCAAAGCTGGCTCTTTTCCACGGCCAATTCCCTGCTCCTCCGGGAGGGGGCAGCAGTGGAGGGGCCCCGGCCGCCATGATCGGCTCGGCTCCGGGCGCTGCCATTGTGGCGGCTCCCGTGCCGCCGGCGCCTGTGTCTGCCACCCCGGCTCCGGCTGGCAAGTGAGCAGGCGACGGCGCGGCGCACCACAGGGAGACGGGCAACTAGAAGGGAGACCCTTCTCCCTCCACGCCCGGGGCATGTCCTGGTTCTCTCCTTGTTCTTTTTCCCTTCCATGTCAACCCTTGACAATGCATGATCCTCCGCGCGTATGCGCCACACACACACACGCACACACACACACACACACACGCCCGCGCACAGTCTCACGATTATTGGCGAGGGAGAGGGGGGGAAATCTTCCGGAGCGCCGGGCCCCGTGCTGGGTGATTTTCATCAAGATCCACCAGATTGACGATCGCCCATGTAATTGCGTTTTGAATTCATGTACGGTCTCATGTGACACGCACAATGCTGTTTCTGCCCGGGGTACCCTGAGACCCTGGGCGCCCCATAAGCACACATAATGCCAGGGGACTGTACCCCTACTCCCGAGAGGAGGGTTGAGAACATGCCTGCCCTCGGGCAATCGGCGTGCCGGGCGGACGGTCAAACGGCTGGGCGGCGGCCCTCGCTGTCGTGGGGAGGACAAGGCGGCGGGAGGGGAGAGGGGGGGGGAGGGGGGGGGGCAAGCGCCAGGGCATCGGAAGTTCTATGACTCGCAAGTGCAACTGCTGGTGGTACCTGCGAGAGGGGGTCAGACTCTCATTCTGATGAGTGTTGTGGTATTCACCCGGCGGAGGGGGGAGGGTGGGGCGCTTGAATTCGGAGACATCCGACCTGACTCTAGAACGTAGGTGGGTCGGAGCGCCGTGGACCTGGGGGGGGGGGGCGGGGCGCGGGAGCCGCCTGGTTGTCTTGGCTTTCGACCGGGATCCTCCATGCAGGCGGGAGAAGACGCGCGTGCAGGGCTCCGAGCGACGGGCATGAAATACCCTATGCCTGTCCTGGATGGGGCAGACCACGCGGGATGGGGGGCGGAGGGAGGGGAAGGGGGCCGGAGGGGCATGGGCACACAGGGCGGGCTATCCAGCAGAGTGATCTGGGTCCTCGTGTGTGTGTGTGTGTGTGTGTGTGTGTGTGCATGCGCTCCATGCATATGTGTATGTGTGAATGTGAGTGTGAAGGTACACACGCCTTTAAAAGGGCTCAGGGAGCCGCAAGGCTTGACTAGCATCTCGACTCTTTCGAACGCCGGAATAATTGCTGACCGCTCCACGCGTCGGGCCTGCCCGAGACCCATGGACCCAGGGCCCGAGCGGCCGACCTTTTTTGTGTGTGCAGGGGGGCGGGGGGACACCCTCGACCGGGATCCAGATCGACGGGAGTCCTCGCAGCCGAGAGGCCCTTGGCTGGGGTAAACGCGCCAAGAGTTCTGGTGGTCGGCTTCGCCGGTCCGTTTTACCCCGCTCTCTGCCTGGTTCTCTTGTTCTCTCCGCCTGGGCGCCCTGCGCCCCCAAAAGGCGCCGGGGAGGCGCCGGGGGAGCAAGTCAAGAGGGTCCGCTCTTGCGCGCCACAGCGCCGAGGAGAGAAAAGACGCGGCCGCGTCCGGGGGGGGCAATCGCATACCCTCGCATGCTGGAGCCCTGACTGCGACCGCATTGGCCTCTGAAGGGAGACGCTTCTGTTGGTCCAGCATGCTGCTGATGAAAATGCGGGAGCCCCCGGCCCGCGCGCGCGGGCGCGTGTGTACGCGCTTCCCTGCACCCCGAACCGGGGGGGGGGGGGGGTTGAAAATCCCTCAGTGATATCCCCCTTTTGAGAGAGGTCAAGGAATCCCTTTTTCGGCCACCGGGAGAGGTGCGTGCGATCGGGTGACCCCCCCCCCCCTCCCCCCTGCAGGCCTGGCCCGGCCCCACCCAGCCCGGCCCCCGATCGTTCTTCCCGCTCCTCCTCCGGGTGTCGATCAGCGCAACGGAACGTGCGCCGGCGTCCATAACCAGAAGGTGAAGGAGAGTTTAGGCGTGCGTTCGATGGTGGCCGATCGATCCAAGTCCACCCGCCCCCCCCCCCCCCCCGCCCCCACGGGCCGTGGCGAGAAGCGGCCGCCAGACTAAGGCCGATCAGCAACCCGGTGTTCGCTCTGCTCTCACACGCTGGCGTCCGATGCACGCGCGGTCGGACCGGCCGGCCCTCGCCCCTGCCAGGCTCACCGATCGCAGCGCGATCCGTGCAAAGGAAAAAACGAATCATGCACATCCGCTGGTTGACGCTGGGTGACCTCTCGGGCCGTAGGCGCACCAAACGGCGAAAAGGGGAACTGGGAGAAAGGGCTCGGGCGGGGCCAAGTTGATTTGACCGACGGCCCAAGTGGCGTATCAGGCTGCGCCTCCTTCCGGTGATCGACCGTCCCGCTCTTCACACGAGAGAGAAACAGGCAAAGCGCCGGGAGCGGCGAGAGACCAGGAGCAAGTCGACTGGGTGGGTGTCCTTCCCGACATTGGGCCCAGCGGCTTTTTTCGCGCCGCACCTCCCCCGCCCGGTGCATGGTCGCGCCTTTTTTCGGCTGCCTCCCTTGGGCCTCTCGCCATCGCCACCTGGAAGCACTCTCCCCCGTCGTCCCCCCCCCCCTCCCTCTGTCCCCCCATCTCTCGCACATCAACGCGGGATTGCCGCCAAGGACCGCACACACACGCGCGCCCTTTTGACTTCACTTCCCCCCCTCTCCCGATTCCCGCCCCATCGTCGCGCTCCACTCCGCTCTCCCATCACAGAGTAAGGGGGATCGCCTTCCCCTCGCCTCCGGTATGTCCGGCACTTCCTTCGGTCTTTCCTTGCCGCTGCTTTCTCACCCCGTCCATCTCTCCCC